ATGAGAAATAAACAACTATGTTTTCAAGGAAATTGAAAACTGAAAGTATCTCTAATCTGATACTTACGTGAAAAAGGTTTTAATGAGAAATAAACAACGTCGATGTTTACAAAGGAATTGCAAATTGAAAGTATTTCTAATTTGATATTTATGTTTAAAAAGCTATTTTGTTGAGGTTTTTTATGAGAAATAAACTACAGCGATGTTTTGGAGGAAATCGGAAATTAAAAGCATCTCTAACTTGATATTCATGTTGCTTAAACTTGGCATTTATTTGGGGCTTTGAGAGAAGAATGGGAGTAAACAACGCTATGTTTCGACGGAATTTAAAAACTAAAATTAATCTGACATTTACAATTAACATTAGTTATATGATATTTAAAATTATAAACGGCACGTATATAATATATATGATTGAACCTTATTTTTACACATTAACAAAATCAGGGGCCTTACAGAAAAAACCAAGTTCAACACTAGTTTTAGTTTCAAGAATTTTATGAGTGACTTTTTATTTCGTCATAATTATTTTGTTTTTCAAATTTTCAAAAACGGAAATTTTTACAAAAAGACTGAGAAGATCATAGTGTTTAAGATTTTTCAGAAAATAAGACATTTTCATAAAATAATGAGTCGATTTTTCCTAAATCAAGTCCTTAAGCAAAAAAATTAGGATCGGTTTGAAGAATTTTTTTTTACCCCGTTAGAAAATCGCTATGCCAACTTAATATAGAAATAATGAGTAACTGTTGAAATGAGAATATTGTCTGAATTTGCCACTAAGAATTATAAGCCCTGTAAAACGCAGAAAGTACCAATTAGAGAATATAAACATCAGTATATCGGATTTTCTGAAAAAACAAGTTTGAACGAGAGAAAAAAAGCTTGTATTTAAATATAGAAGACGAAAATCAATCAATATAAAATAAATGGTTAACATAATAATGCAATATTAAAAACAATACAATATGAAATAATTTTTCAATAAATAAATTTGTTTTTTAAAGCAAGCTATGAAGCAAAAAATACAAATTAGGGAATATATTCGTTCGATGTATCTCATATTTAACTGCAAAATAAACAAATTTAAAAGAAAGAAAAAACTTTGATTTTTATGTCTCTATATTCAAATCCAATACAAAACGGGAATAATCATTCAATCATTCGGCACATTTTGATTCAATAAAATTTATTACTATAACAAAACTATAACACAGAAAGTACAAATTAAGAAATATATTTATTGGAAATCATCTCGGGTTTTCATGCAAAATAAAAAAAATTTGAGCAGAAAAAAAAATGTCTCAATTTCTAAGTCTTCTACATTCAAATTCAATAGAAACAAACTGGAATATCCATTCAATAAATTTGATTTTTCAACACACTCATTATCAATGGAAAAATGTACGAGTGTTGCCAATCGGGGAAAAAGAAAAGCTAAACAAAATAGAACGTATAAAGCTCTAATTTACAAGTAACCGGAGCCCATACATGCAAGACCGAAGATAAGAAAAATAACTTCAATTTGTCTTGACACTGGGGACATTTTCATCGCTTAAAATTACTAAATTATCTAACTCTGCAAGAAGTTTTATGATGTTCTTTTTTTGCTTCGTTGAAAGCTAAAATTCCGTTCGAAATTTTTTGCCTTTTTTTTTTTATAAAAGAAACATTTTTTATGTGTCTGGTACCACGAAGAAAAAGAAGGCTTCATTAAATAGGAATGTTTATTTTTTCGCCTTTTTTTTTGTATTTGTTAATTTCTTGAGATAGAAGTTAGAAGAAGAAAAAAACGCGATACTAGACTTGGTTGCAACCGACATTAATGATTTGCAATAAGACGTCAAGCCGGTCGATGATTGGATTAAGTTATATAGGGTGAATCGTTTGCTTGAAAACAAACACCATTTTGTTTTGTTTTTTAAAGCATATTCGCAAAGTGGAAACGATCGAGTTTAAAACAGACATGAAATTAATTTACTAAGTGTAGTTTATCATGAAAAAAGTGAACAATTTTAGAAAAAGCCGTTTGTTCATTTAAATTTGCAAGATAAAGCATTGATAAATTTTGTTGCAATAAAAGTTAGAAGGGTGCATTACATTATTCTCTAAAACTATAAATCAATAATAAAAAAAAGAACATCAAAACAAAAACTTTATAACGGCGCTTCATAACTTTAACATACATGTATACAAAAGTACAAATTATATATAACAGGTCACTCAAATATGACGTCAGCATTTAAAGTGAGAGGGGTAAGGTAAAGGGAAGGTGGGGCTTGAACAGTGATTTCATAATAAGCTAAAATTTACTTAAAAAAAAATTTTTTTTTTCATTTTTTAACTGCACAAAAATTCGTAACACGAAAAAGTGGAATGCAATTACAGGTGGAAAAATTTCAAATTCGGTTCAAAGTTAAATAGTTAAATTAATGGGTAAAAAAAAGTTGAAAAAATTTCTTACAGGGAATTTTAGGGATCAAGTGCCTCTGATCACAGAAGAAAAACAAAAAGGATTCCTAAAAATTGCTCTACTAAAAATTTTAAAAATTCAATAAAAATAAATTATAACAGTAAAATAAATAAAAAACAGCGATAAGGGAGGGGTGCGACTTTCTTTTTCAAGCATAGATTGTTGATTTTCTTATTTTTGCTGAGAAGGGGAGGGGGGTGGAATAACATTGCCGAAAAACAAGCCTACTAAATATTTGAACAGCCCCCAATACGCAAAACGTTAAACTGGAACATAAATAAGCATCAATTATTAAATGATAAATAACTGAATTCAATAATAAAGCTCATATTTCTAAAAGCATCTAATCATATACAATGATTTAAATTAAATTACACCTAGCATCTTAGCAAAGCAGGGTATCTCTCGATAGTGTTAATTTCCAATTAACCCGTTCTCAATTTCGATACGATAGCACCAATCGGACAAAGCGAAACTATCTGTTCTACAGAATTTTACAATCTTATCTTTTATAATCAACGATTCTGCAAACATTACTTGAGTCGAATTTCGAATAATGCGTTTTCAAGACTGATGTGTCAATATATCCCAGCGACGGGGTTTACTTGAAAATCGAACAAATAATCTTTTGCAGAGAATTTTATCATGGAACTTAACCATTTTTGGAGAAAGTTCAAGCTCTTTTGCAAAATTATCTAATTTAAATTCAGACGCATTATGTTGGAAGCCAACCCAGACAGAAGAAAACTAAATTCAATGAATTGTAAATAAGGCATTTCTGATGTGAAAGCTCTTAAAGATGGAGTTGTGAATAGATGAAGTGAAGTGAAGTGAGAAGATAATAAAGATTCGAAAAGAACAATCATAACGATGAATGTATAAAAATGAATTATTTCAAACGATTTGTACCATATTTACCGATTCAAAATGAAACTCATTTTAATTGAACTAGCTTTACAAATAAAATTAATTTACTTGTATTATAAGGATTTTTCAATTTAGAAAAGGATATTATTTAATAGATTATAATACTGGCATGCAATTGAAAAAATAACGTTAGTGCTCCACGATAGATTTCTATAAAAGTGACTTGGCAACTTATTCTGTCTATAGCTATGAGCACTAAAATAGAATTTAAAAAACGAGTAAAAACAAATATTTTAGAAAAAAATTGCTATCAAGTAATAGTTTATCGTACTAAAACATCAAATTCAAAAAAAAACTCAGTTTTGAATTTTTGTTGCTTACGTTGATATTGCATAACATATCATTAGCACACTATTTCCTCCATAAAAAAAATTATCAAACAAGTACCCAGTCTATATAATTATTTTGTATTTCGTGGCAAGGTTTATTGAACATATCTCAAAACGAGTGTTTAAGGAAGTGGATGAAGTACGAAGTACGTGTTAAAGACATACGGCTCAGTACAAAATGCATGTGTCCAGTGTTCAATCCAAATTTAAGAGTTAAGCGAGAAATTTCTTATCTAATTTTCTTTACTTTTTTAAACACTAATACACATAATCGTTACGGGATATCGGGGTCGAGACGGCTAGGTATAAAGCAAATGTAACTATTTAGGCATCTCTCCATTTAAAAAACATTAAGTGGTTTTAAAAAATCTAAATTAGTACACCATCAATTTTATACCCCCATTAAGATTTTTATAGGACCCGTGACAACCTTATAAATAGAACTGTTGACCTTTAATAACTTTTCCAAAAAGATTTATTTTTAAAAATGTACCAAGCGATTGCGATTTATGCAAATGAACACATCACATTACGAATTTATTTGGAAAAATTGGTTTATTCTTTACACAAAGAATAGAAGTTTGAAAATCGGAATCAAATGCTGTATTCTTTTTGTTTAATAGCTTGTGTCTAGTAGCGTGTCCAGCTGTTCTTAAACACGCATTTTGTGCTACATCCATTTTCTTAAACATGTATGTTTTAGTTGCGTCCATTTTCTTAAACACGCATTTTGAGATATGTCCATTTTCTTAAACACGCATTCTGAGTTGCGTCCATTTTCTTAAACACGCATTTTGAGTTGCGTCCATTTTCTTATAGACGCATTTTGAGCTGTATCCATTATCTTAAACACGTGTGCTTGAGATATGCCCATTTTCTTAAACACGCATTTTAAGATGTGTCCATTTTCTTTAACACGCATTTTAAGATGTGTCCATTTACTTGAACGCGAATAAAAACATTTTAAACACGTATTTTGAGCTATGTCAGGAATAAGAAGCTCATCAACGTTTTGTTAGTTAGACAGCAACCTTGAAAACGAGAAAAAACTGGAGATCAAAATTTTTTAACGAAAATAAAATTCAGGAGAGAAAAAAAAAGAGCGCCAGTAAGTGTCATTCCTTTTTTGTCAATTTTTTTCTCGTTAGCACATTATGTAACAACCCGATAAATGTCACCTCTTCAGACACGCAAATAAAGAAGAAGAAAAAAGGTTTAAAAAATATAGTTTCAACTAAATCTCGTATTAGAGAAAAAGAAAATGGACTCACCTCGAATGTTGTGCTGACTATCTTGTCCACAGATGAGAAGTAGTTGTCCCAAAGGACTTGTGTTTGTTGACGAAATGAGTGAACTTTCGTGGGCGGAATGGAACGGATCATGTCCGGAACCTGGAAAAATATCCAAGGAAAAAAAGTCAAGGCAAACATACATATAAAGAATCAATATACCATAGAATTCTGATTCGAGCCTGTTTGTATTTGACAAACTCAAAAAAAGTTCGAAAATAAGCAATAACTTTGACTTATGCTGAGACTTTATTTCAATTGCTCTATTCAATACAAATTTATTACGAAAATTATTGAAATTGGCAAATATAGGAAACAAGATCGGCAAGTTTTGGATGGCTTTATCCATGGGTAAAACCGCCAAAAATTTTCGGTCAAATATTATCAAGAAAAATTGCATTTACGAATTGATAAGAATATAATTATTCTTTATTATATAATTATATATTATTCATTATTTTAAGCAAATTGCAGGTAGTGTTTAAAGTAAAATATAAGATTTTAGTTTCGTTATATAAATTTTTTAAGTGCTAAATATGTCAAGAAGAAAATGTCTTGGGGGGGAAAAACACTTGTGTATATATTTACAAAACTTTACACAATCATTTATAATTAGTTATAAATGCATAATTTATTTTATTTCATAAACATAAATTATACAGAACTAAATGCTAACAAAAAACCTGCTGGAAGCTCTACAGATGTAAAGTTGTTTTAAAGAAGAGTTTTAATAAAAAAAGAACTTCGAAGATTCGAATAATTAATTATGGCTTCATTCATTTACATAAAAAGACAAGGTAATTTAAGATATTTTAAGTTTATAAGTTAAATTTCTAGAAGTGCAGAAAATTTTATAAATTTCTAGTGATTGGTCTTAAGTATCTGTTATTCCATTTCAAGAAATTTTGGCTTTTTTCCAACACGGCTATTATAGATCGGGGAAGTTACATGACATAGACATGGAATTGTTAAAACATCTTCTTACCTGGGAAACACCGATATAATGAAGGATTTCTTAAATTTACGGCAAGTTTTGAATTTTGCGCCATTAGATAATGCCAACGAAAAGGGTTATAATAAAGAGTTACAGTTGATAGTTTAGAGCTATATAAAAAAGAGAGCGCTACACGGACAATTTCGAATATGTACGCAACATCTAAGTCCACTCACATATGAACTGTTATACAACTCCATATAAGATCTATAGGTCCTGTATGAGCTTACTAGGTAACTTAGGTTCGAATCCCTGCGGTGGCTGTTTGAGACGAATGCTTCCCTCGGCTAGCACCGACCACAGTGCTGACATAAAATAACCTCAATGGTAGACGGATCATGGATTAAAAACCCCTTGCCTCGGCCTAATCATGGGAGGCTTTCGTGGTTTCCTTCTCTAGGTAAACCAAATGCGGGTTAGTTACATAAAATCGTCCCTATGGAGTCTAGTTTGTCCTAAAGCTTGATGCAGGAGTTCCCATGTCTCCTGGGTTTGGCTCAAAATTACAAAGCCATGGTTTATAGAATAGATTATAAAATAAAATTCTGCACAGTTTATAAATTAATAAATAAATAAAAAAAATTGATAATAATAAAAAATAAATAAATAAAAAATAAATCGCAAATTTTTTTTTCAAAATTATTTTTTAGATCAATTCTGGAGCATATGTATACAACATAAAACTTTAAAAATGAAATTTGTTCTTTGCAAACAGCAAATGTTGGTTTTGATACAAAGATAAAAGGAAGTCTTAAGAAAGTGTCTCTCCAGTGATAGAAAGAACCATTAAAAGGCTTTTAGGTTTACTAAAAAAGGACTCATTTCAGATATTTTATGCTCTTCCAAGGGGACAGTTCGACTACAGAAGCAACTTAAAAGAACATGCAGCACTATCCCTTTTATCTTGATTAAGAACGAAGAGAGAGGGTTCTTTATGGAATCACTTGTTTACTTGTGTGTTGACGTCAAACTTTTATAGAACGTTTTAAGCAAGAGTTGTTTAATTATAATAATTGCCTTCATATAATTTAACAATAAATATTCGGGCATTAGGGAGTTTTTGTTCTAAATTTAGTTTTCAAGGGTATATCATTTGCATGTAAACTGTTGTTGAATTTTTGTGTATCTTAAAATCATTATTTCTACGAAGAACTAATTAAAATAAACAAATAATAATTTGGTTATTTAATCTAACTAGGCTTCAGCAAAATACTATTTCATAGCATTTTGTCACTTATGAAACCTTTAAAATATGTTATAAGTTTTGTTCCTTGCCTTTTTTAATATTACTATAGTATATTTGCACTAAGGTATATTGTATATTATTGTATTGAATATTGTATTTGTATATTGGCCAGCAAACTATACGAAAAAGCATTATTCAGACGGATTGCATTTATGTACAGTGCGCAAAATAAAGGACGGACCAACCTGAATAACTTTTGATCTAATAATCGGATCTTCACGTTCTAAGTCTGATTCTTACCGGCTTTAAATTGTGACCTCTAATATGCTACTTAATTAGTGCACACGATATTTTAAGCTACGAAATCAGACACAGAAGTGTACTTTTTCTGAATAAACATAATTCTTTTTCGATGGATTCGGATCACTGACCTCTAAAGGGGAGAATCTGCAAACAGGGTAATATGGTCATAGTATTTTGGTCAGGAAATAAATTCAATGTGAATTTTACTTTTTGCATATTTTTCCACATTCCGAGAAGTTTTTTTTAACAAACATATAATTTGTTTATCCAAAGCAGGGGTCTGTTTAGAAGAAATTTGGGTCCGTTAACGGACCCTTCACAAAATATCTTTTCATAAAAACGGACCCTTCACAAGACATTTTAACTTTAAAACGGACCCTNACATTTTTTTTTAACTGTACGGTAAGTTTTAACATAATTTTAAAGAACGGAATTTTACATAACAAAAGACAAAATTGGAGTGAACTCGGTCGAATAGTTCCTATGAAGTTGAATTTTAAAATGCATTTTTAAAAAAAAAAAAATTGATTTATTAGTAACAATTCGATTAATTTCGATTCAATTTTGTATTTTGCCATTTAAGATTGCGTTTTTTAAAATTACGTAAAAAATTAAATACATTTTACAATTTAAAACTGTTTGACTATTATTAAATAAAATAATAAAATATATATTTACTAAAATTTTTGTATGGTATTATATTTGGATAAACTAATTTTATGGTCGCGTTAAAAACATCTGGAAAAATGGTGAAACATACAAAAAGTAAATTCATAGGGACAATATTTCCCAGATTGTCTTCTATATTTTCAGGGGTCTGTCCAGACATTTTGTGAAAGGTCTGTTTTTCGTGAAATTGTGAAAAAATTACCCACATTCTTTCAGCCAGGGTCCGTTTTTATGAATTTGTGCAAATAGGGTCCGTTATTGCAAAGAAAAACTTTTTCAAGGAGTTTTTAAATTGTAAAGACATACAAGATTATGCTCAACACTGTAAAATTTATAATTAAAAAATTAAATTTTCAAATATAAACAGCAATTGCTGCTTCTAAATTAGAGATGCAACCTGCAAATATTTCGCATTTAGCCTATACTGCTGAACGCAGAATATTCATTTCGGACGAATAATGGAAGAATCGTCTGCCGAAGACAAANTAAAATTACGTAAAAAATTAAATACATTTTACAATTTAAAACTGTTTGACTATTATTAAATAAAATAATAAAATATATATTTACTAAAATTTTTGTATGGTATTATATTTGGATAAACGAATTTTATGGTCGCGTTAAAAAGTTCTGGAAATATGGTGAAACATACAAAAAGTAAATTCAACATTAAGGGAACTATGGGGACCATATTTCCCAGATTGTCTTCTATATTTTGGAGGTCAGAAATCAGAATCCATCGAAAGAAAGAATGTTTATGCAGAGAAAGCACATTTTTATTTCTGATTACGTAACTTAAAAAATCGTCTGCAAAAATTAATAAGCATACTTGAGGTTGTCGTCCCCTCACACCATTAAGATTGAGTCCTAGAACGTGAAGATCCGATTATTAAATCAAAAGTTAATCAGGGTGGTCCGTTTATTTTTCGATGCACTGTACAAAGCATATTTAACATGCTATTACACTAAAGGTTTACTTTTCCAAAAGCACAAGAATTAAAAGGACATGGAAAAGGAATATTTTACACATTTAATGCTGTTAAAAATGTGCATATAAAAGCTATAATAGGTTTTATTATAAAAGAAAACCAAACTGAATGGGCATACATATCCAACTCTAAGGAAAATTAACTCTCATTAGCTCCCTGGGAGAGATTTACATTGTTGTTTTGTTTTGGGAAGAATAAGCATAATGGTTTGATATTACTTCATTAAGAACTTCATTCTCTTCAAAAATATACAAATTGGAAATAACAGTCCGCATGTTTCAAGCGCTCAAAAATAGACGCCTTTTCCAAGACTCGCCAGGCGTAAAATATAAGAAACAAAGGTTATAATTTAAGTCTCTTAAAGATCCTATTAGTTTTGATAACCCCTGGTACATTTACTACACTCCTTGTCCATGCGACTTAAGCTATATGGGGTAAACTAAACGCGCTTTAAAATTTAGACTAAAGTAACATGATAGATATGTCTGTTATCAAAAATACAAAAAATCATCAATCGCTGCACATTGTTGGAATCTAGGATTCACTTCAATAATGCCAAAATCATTTTCGCCTCAGTCACATTAACTTATCTTGATACCCTAGAATCTTGTTCTATTCATATGAATGCTGATTCCCTTGTTAAAGATATTAGTTCCTCACCACAGTACATGAAAATGCATTTTACCTTGATTTGCCCCATTCGCTAAATGTAGTTTTTTTTTTTTTTTTTTCAAATTCTGTTTTTCAACCTTTTTTTCTCCCTCCGCTACTGTGGTTATTCCAGTTTATTTATTTTTTTTCATCTTTATTTTTCCATTTTTCGTTGGCAATTTAACGTTTCATATTTTCAAAATTCTTTTGTTTCTTCGTGCTCCAAGTCTGGCAAGTCTTGAAAAATACGCGTTTATTTTTGGCAGCTTGAAACATGTTGACTGTTATTTCAAATTTGTATACTTTTGAA